AAGAAAAATAAAAGACATGATTACCTACTACGTTTTATTATATTATTATTTATCTATTACACATCCTTATTTAACAAGTTTTACAGTAAATACTGTGTATACCACATCGATATAATACGGTCCAGAACTTAATTACATCTTGCTAAGGGAACAAAATTATATATATCTCATATTTGCTCTACATGAAGAACCTAATAATTGACATACGGTCAACACTAAGCATCTTTATCTGTCGTCCAATATTTGATTAGTAGCATTCATATCATCACTACAAATAGGCAAATCTATATTTATAATACGGAACATTTCTCACCATACAGATACAAAATATGGTATACCAAATATGGTATCTGTATGGTGTTATAACAGCGTTGGATTTTACGTGGTTGCTGTAAATGTAATACTGAAACCGATGAACCGATGCATGATAAATTTTCTATAATTCTATCCATATTATACTACCCTAACATTTAACTACGTACTAGATGTTTTCCCGCTACTTAACCCGCGGAAATTATGATCTATGTCGGCATAAGATGTAGCTTCCCGAAGCTGAAGAATTATAATATCGGATTTGTATTTCTGCAACCCCTATAAAAAAAATCAAAGTTGGAAACTTTATAACATGAATATATCAAATCAATAACTAACATTTCAATATCAGATTCAAAATAATTTTAATTCAAATAAACATATTAAAAATATCGCATGCCTAATTTTAAAAGTATAAATTTCATCGTCATTTTTATAAAATCCACAATTTCTAACCCTCTCGTGGCATGTGTTTTTTGTGTTGCTGTGCGCCGGCGCACGGTACGCCCCCTTTCGCCTCTTCATTATTACAATAATTCGTGTTACATTCAATTCACGGCGTGGTCGGAACGCCCATAACGTTATTTATAACTGTTATTTGTCATAACAAACTTAATAAATTATAAATAGCACGCTCTCCAGCGTTGCGTAATGGGATCTGTTTTGAGTGTTTGTGGCTTTTTTCTATGGTAGCACGGCAGATTTGGAAATCTAGCTAATCGTACTGTATTAATGCAAATACTTGGTAAGGTGTGTATTTTCTCAAATTTATTAAGTTTACGATATATATTCATACTATTAATTATTTTAGTAATTTATTGGTTCACCAACAATTGTTACAACGACAATGGACATAACGTATAATTTCTTCCTTATTACATTAATTATAGGCAAACACCTCATGCACAAGACAAAATAAATACAATAAAATATATTTTTAAAACTGTTATAAAAACCAAAGGGCTTATACACTAAATTAAACATATACACTAACGGCCTTACTAATTGGAAAGGTATAACAGTTGTTTAGTTACATATAAATCTGTTCACGTCATTCTAATATGAATTGAAGTAAAAAACTGTACGACTATATAAAGCAATGCATAGCTTATTGGTAAGACCGTATCTGTTACAAATATTAAAAGCCTAACGCGAACAAATTAAACGAAAAAATGTTTAATGGTTATATCATCAAAACTGTTGAAACGATTCTGATGAAACTTATGCTATTCTCGATAAATACTTGACAAAGATATAGATATAAAAACACTTTTAATTGGATGCTTACAAATTCGTTTCTGTGAAGTATTGATTTCAGATCACCAAATTCTAATAAATTATAAACATATGCAAAACAGTAAAATATTCCATTATAATATAATTTCTGTAGTAATTAGATACGGTATGATCTAGTACCGTCCCTTGTATTTTCAATGTTCTTAAACTTGTTACATCATGAAAACATTTTCTAAATGTTACTAAAAGCCATAAATATTATATTTTTAAAAATATTATTTGAATTAGCTATCAATATTGAAAAAATATATATAACGTCGCCTGTTAATAAACAATAATGCTCCGAAGTTAAAAAGCATTGAAAATACTTGTACTATAAATGAGAAACTTGGAATTAAATGCTTATAAAGAAATTTAATGAAATGACATTCGCACTCGCATTCGCATTTGCAGTTGCATTCGTATTCACAGTCGCTTTCGCAAAGTTTGTGTTAGAAATATCAGAAAAAAAAACAACAATTTAGATATAATTTTGTTTGGTTAACCAAATTAAAATTCTTTTTTTTTTTAATTCAATCTTCTTTATTTTTTTATTATCAGAAAAATTAAGTTTGTCCCGTAATCTCATTATCAGCCTTCACTTTATCATTTAGTATTATTTACTGCTACTTTGATTAAGTACAATTATTATATTATTCCTTAGCCGAGAGGTTCGCACGCCATTTTCAAAGTGCCGCCTAATGTATAAAATGAACTTTCCTTGGATCTGGGTGTTGCGGTACTTTAGATAATCCTATTAGAATTTGAGCGACATAGGTATGTGATATTGTCCAATAATCATTTTTTACGTGTTTTCAGACTATTTAGTTCCCATTTAGATCTGTAGTCACGACGATGTATATTTATTGTTACACACTCTTGTGTAAAACATCTGCAAATGTCATCACTTAATTTCGTATCGTACGAAATTAAGTGATTATTATTTAATGTCGAATGCCCAGTAAATACTCTAATAATCGCACGGATATTAGTTAAAAGAATTAACGTCAAAACTACTTGGATTCGCTTCGGAAGTTGTCCTTAAGTATATTCATTACATACTTTTTTGTAATGATATTGGAAAGCTCAGGGCATATCTGCAGTTTCCGTGTTGTTACAAACCTTTTTGAGCTACCTCTGCCGAAGTAGAAATCTCGAATGTGACTGATTTCATTTCTTATAAATATTTCTTCCTACTACTAGCTAACTATAATATTTATGCCAACATATACCTATTATTGGTTTTTTATTAAATGATAATGCATTTCTTATTTCAATTAATTCGCTTGGCTTATTCCCAATTTCTTAAAAATGTATTTTTAGTAACTACCTTTTCTTTAATAAAGTGAGATATCATACTTTTTAAATTTGAATTCTGACTTTTTTTTGATTATATGTAATGAAGGTTATTGGAATTTCATCGAATCCGCCGCAAACAAAATTCTATATTTCTCAGTAGTTTTGATTCATATCTTTTTTTAAAAGGCAAACATCTATAAAATGCATTGGATACAAGACCCTTTTGGCGAGTCCCTACCTACGGATTGCCATAAAACTGCTAAAACAAACGAGTTGCGTAGGCGCAAACCACGTCGGTAGTTTGTGACTAAGCATGTAAGTACTAAGTCGTCGGATATAATACAACTTCTTCGTATGAGTCTAATACATGGCAGAAAATGCTTCTGTTTCTAAACGAGTTTCTTATAGAAACTTTGAAATGTACTCCGCAATTTCGTTGATGTCTCTTAGATGTTGGAATCGAGCAGCTACTTCTTGGACAATTTACGATCCAGCTTAATTGTACGAGGAGCGTTTACCGCTAAACAATTTAATGATAATTTAAAGTCAGTATTTTCCACCGTAGTCTTGTTAATTGCTTCCAAACTGGAAATATATGTGTTGTACTGCGAATAAGAGCTTCTAGTCCTCAAAGCTTTGTGATATCATGAATAAAACGTTAAATTAAATTGTTTAAAATTTCATTCTTTTATAACCAACTAACAATCAGTAAAATGGTAATCTTTAGCCAAATAGTTTGCTGCCTAATGTTTATCATTCGGATATAAAAGTTTGATAAGAGTTTTTGTTTAATAGCAGTTGTTAAAAAGTGCTTTTTTCATTTATAACAAGTTCAAATCTATGAGTTACCCAAAAATTTAGAGTTTTAAATTAGAAATAAATTTATTTTTTACTAAAGCAAAAGACTTCAACGACTATATGAGGCCGATATTTTGTTTATTATATTTATTTGTTATCGTTATGATATCCGGTGAATTTGATGAATTTGTTATCTTGTTTTATATAAATAATCCAAAATTTTTATAAAAAAAAATTAAAACATTGCAGCTGAAGTTTAAAAATAAATAAAAAAGATAATCATACTTACTAATATTGTAATGTGGAAAGATTCAATTTTCTATTTGTTTTTATTTAATGGATACATTCAAAAACTACTTGACTGACCTTATCATCTTTCGTCTAAATAAAACTACATTATCAAAAAGTAATATAGTTTATATTATAACAAAAAAGTATTAAATATATGTTTAATGTTCAAAGTTCACTTGCTAGAAGTTATTGCATAGAATGTATCTTATTTCTTCTTCGTTTTATATTCAAATGTTTAAAAAGCTTCGAAATTCATAATTGTTTTTCATACATTTACAACGAAGCACGGTGTAGATTACTATCGTAAATGAATTGCTAGCGAGAAACGCGGCCTCAACAGCTTAAAATATGGTCTAGTAATATGATATGGAAGCAGTCTCTGAGATATGAGCTTCCCATTTTGAAGACTATTTTTTTTCAAATAAAGTTCACATTCGCCCGTTAACCTTGAAAAGTCGTGGGCAGAAGGGTCTCATTGGATGCAATAACATAAAGACTGCAATGCAATTATTAAAACTGTTTAAAAAAGTATTTGCTTGAAATGGTTTACTATAAATAAGTATTTGAATTTTATTTATATAATACTAATTGACTTTTTCAGTTTATAATTTTAGTAGTACAATTAGTAGTACTATGCTTTTTGGTACTTCTTTTTCTAATGTCGCTGAATAAATCTTTTTTTTTTATCTAACAAATAAAAATATAATCAACTATTAATTTAAACCCCTATAAGTGTTAATAAGATACTTCTATTTAGTTAGGCTATTGAGTATTTTATAATTTATTCTATTAATGTTGTTTCTTGTTTTAAATAAACACAATATTTGTTTAATCGGTACTTTGTTATGAGTTTAAGAAAGTTAATTTTAAAATCTATTGTAATAAGGAAGTCATATTTGAACTCTTCATTCCTCTACAATAGGCCTAATTGTTGTGTAATATTCTAGACGTTTAATCAGTTATTTTTAAATTATCGGTGAAATTTATTATCATAGGTGATTGTACAAATTAAAAATTGTATTTCAATTTCATAATTATTTATTTTAACTACAGAATATAGGTAAGTAGTGTGCCTACTTAAAAAAGATTTCAGTCAAATAAATACAGATCGCTTTTAAATTAAATATATCACTAAAATTGTACAACGATATTTAAGCTATTTACAATATATCACAAAATTATATTTCGAGAAGGTTCTATCCTATTAGTATTATCACTTCTACTTACAGTCAGTCCGATCCAAATGGAATTATCGTTTCACATAACATAACGCGTATACAACAATCACTATACTGCCCACACGACATTCCTATTGGATTCGAGCACACAGAAAATGCTTCTTCCCCTAAATCTAAAGAAAATGACTCAAGGATTATATTATCGACATACACCACTGTCACTGCTTGGCAGCGTTACAGTTCACAACTTCTCGAACGCTCTGGAGTTGGTGAGCATTTCTCTGGTGAGCCTCCATACCTGCTTCGCTGCATTCTCCAACGCCGTCGGCGACTTACCCTTGAACAAGTCCACGTGTGGCAGGAAATAGTGCGGGCATCGCCGGCACTGCAGTGACGAGATCAACTGCAAGAATATACCGTTGATTCTGTCACCTATTGCACCTTCATCCCATTCGTGCTCACGCGGATGCTTCTCGCACTCGTATAGCAGGAGCGTCTTCATGTGGTAGCACGTGACCGGATTCCCGGGCAAGTCTAAATGTCTGTCTCTGATCGTCTTCAATATACTCAGACATTTTCGTCGGCAGCCACCGTGTAGCAACCGGTTTTCAGCCTCGAAGAAACTTAATACCCAAGCGTCGCCCTCCATGGCGGAGTTTTTCCCTTGCAACGCTAGACACTCTTTCGATAACAAATCGAATCCTTCGGTTTTCACTTCGGCAACACTGTTTGGATGGGGCCACGGGATAGCGGGTAGAGGCCAGTGCGCCGCAGACCGAGGCCACAGGCCGGCACATTTAAATGCCGGTGTTATTTGCACGATGTACCTTTCGCGTATCCGCAATTTCACCTCGGTAGTTTCCGCGATCATTTTGACGCAATCTCTGTAGGAACACTTGTCGCAAGCCTGTGCCACCAACGTCTGGAATCGAGATCTGATCTTCCTGGCCGATAAGTAACCGGAAGCGGTGATGAACTCCACCCACAGGGACATGGAGCGTTTGCGGCCGTCGCTGAGCTTCAAAACGGCGCACCCGGGGAGGGAGCCGTCATCGACGAAATTCAACACACCCATTTGGTTCAAGTAGATGACGATTTCGAACTCATGCGGTGACACCACTTCTAGGCCATCGAACCGACCGTTGTAGTCCGTCAACGATGATATAAACCTCGGCTCTTGCAACTCCACCTCTTTGAGGACATCTTGCACTATCCTACAGACTTCGTGGATGGTCTTCGCTATTTGTGCCTTACGGTTGGCGACCCGCTCATTGTAATACTTGTTCATTTGGTAGACGAGCTTGGATTGGGCCGCCATCATCTCGGGGGGCACGAGCATGGTGACTGTTTTGGAACGACTACTCGGTGCGCATAACGGCGACGACACACGCGCGCGGCACGCGGTACTCTATGCCGACTGAACCGTGTCCACACCAAACACCGACGCTAAAAGGTGGGAAACGCCCAAAGCGGTACGGTCTGGCGAATGGCAGGGGTGTTCGCTGTCTCTATCGCTCTTAGTGAACCTTTAACAGTAGCAGGACGAGGACGGTAGACAGTTTTGTAGTCGAGTAGTATTGATCGCTTTTATGCTCCGCCCCTCGTTGTGCTGTAGGTATTGTTAGGTGCTTGTAATTACACGATTGCTTCGCAGTAGGTTCGGTAGCTACAACTTTGGCCCTATTAATGTCGCCCGTTTTTTTCAGGCTTGTTACCGTGACATTTAATTACTTGATATGTATTTATAATTGATTGAAGGCGAAATATGTTGAAATATGTTATGAGATAAATTGTTAAAATTATTTATGAAATGTTTTCTAAAAATCATGTCCAAGGAACTTCAAAATTAAATTGTAAATTGTTTTTAAATATAAATATTTTTGTTTCTTCAATCTATTGAAACTACAAAATATTATATTATATAATTTACAAATAATTAATGTTTTGTTTTTATTGTATTATTTTATCAGAGCTGTAGATAACCTTAAAGCTGTAAAAGTAACATTTTTCGTGTAAATCATATTAAACAACCTTTGTTGTCTCATATAATATGAAGGCTTTAGCTACTCATCTTGGAATCTGAGCAATGTATGTGATGTTGTTTAATATTACTAAATAAAACAACTTTTAAACGGTTTGTATTTAGTTTTGGCGTTTCGGACCCTTTACAGGTTCCGTGTTCACATAAGACTAAGGGTGGGTATCGTAAACTACCACCAGTTCCAAATTTGGGAATCTTGTCTGAGAATAATTGACGAATCAAACTCCAACAAGAAAAGTGAACTGCCCTTTGATTTTTTATTTACAGAACAAACTATCTCAATCTTTTGGTTTTGCAATATGTGATCTGGATTGAAATTTATATGTGACTAAATACTGAATCCCAAGCCAGTGGTATATTCGTTTGGTACCTTCATCTCTATTAAAATTCATATGTTTTTTTTTTTTATTTCAATAGCCTCGCGTATTATTCTAGGAATGAATCTTTGTTCAGTCGCAAAGTTGTTTCATTTATGGATAGTGCGCGTGAAAATATAAGAAATTAAATTGTTTGATATAATTTTTTTATAAACTGTACACAAAATAATATAAATATATCATTACCTACGCAAATGATGACTATAATTGGTTCCCAAAGGTTGTGTGACGTAATTGTTATGTTTTGTTTATAAATAAAATAAACGATAACCATTTATCTACTCTGTTAAAAAATTGTAAGTCCTTTTATTTTTCATTCACGTATTGCCAGATATTTACCAAGTCCCGTTATCTCAGATAAGGGCATAGATTTAAGTTTTTATATAGATACCATTTAAGTTTATACCTACTTATTTGGTAAGCATACCGTCCGTCTTGTTTTGTAAGCCTCCTTAAGCATTCCATAGGTGAGAATGCCTTCTATTTCGGTCGCCATATTGATGGGGCCGCGTCTCTTGATGGATGTGATGCCGGGCGCTGATTTACGCGCTCGCTGTCTCCTCCCGACTCATGCGTCCCTAGTACTTACATACGGACGATGGAAGCACACAAATAAACTAAGGGAATTCCACTTTCTATATTTATTTGCTTGTCTATAGCGTCATATTAAATTGGGCTTAAATCCTGATCAAAGACGGAGATTTTATCAAGCTTGTAAATAAAATGATGGGGATTTTTTAAGTATTTCTCTTTAACATCAATAGCAACATAATATTGTGAATGTAAAATTGTTCAAATATTATAATGATATTTTAAATTAATCTAATAATACTTTTAGTTATATAAGTTAATTTAACTAAATATATTATTAGATTAATTTACTTTGTTCTTCAAATTCCAACGATTTCGATTCGGGTTCAAATTTCGGACAGGTCTCTAAGATATAACTTTTCTAAATCATTATTACTAATATATTTAAAAAAATAATTTCTTATCTTAGTTGTTTTGGTACCTATTATGTTGCAGGTATGAAAATATTAAAAGATTTTTAAGCACTAAATTTGGGATGTGTGTAATGAAAAAAATGTATTTTTATAAGATATTGTTTTAGCCCATATGATTAGACAGATCTCTTAATTCATGATAGTTGTTCAAGGATAATTCTTTGCTTGAGCCTAATTTAGAAATAAAATAAGAATACATTCATTCGTAATACAATTTATACAATACATTGACATACATTTGAACGTTACCAATATTTTAAATCATTATAGGCAAAATTTTCCAAAAATTAATGTCAGTCCATGTCCTATTAAAACAGTTAGTTGCCTAAAAAAGAATAAAAACCACTTGCTTTCATTAGGTACCTTACTCAATAGCTACCATTGACACCGAAGTTAATTTTACCATAACATAGCATTTTATAAAATATACATTCAATAGTTTATGAACGATTTTCTTTACCTGTATACTTATAAGGTATTTATTATTCCATAGCATACATTTTCAATCTGTTATCGTATAATCCACAGTGTTTCTTCCACGAAACTTTCATTTTATAGGCATTATCCTAGCCTGTTACCCTCATCGTAGCATCACACGATAATCGTAAAAATTGCCGAAAAATGTTGACTATTACATCGGTACATGATTTCCCGCGGGGCCGCGGAGAGCGCGCGCTAACAAGATGGCGGCTGGTACGCCCCGCCCCTTCCGGCGGACTTCCGCACCGTAACGCCCCGTAATCACCCCGGCTTTAGAGCGCGATGGTTCCCGCATCGATTTAAGGGTTGAAAACTATAGTGAAGCTTTCGTATATTTTGCTTGTTAAGGTGATCCAAATACTAACGTGACAACTTAATTTATAAATTGTAGCTTTAACTGAATTTCAGTGTATTCTTGAAATTAGGTTATAACTTTATTTTAAAATTTATAGGCTAATGTAATTTCTAAAAATTGTGCATTAACTAAAAACATGAGACTAATATCGCCATTAATATACATCAAAATACGATTATGACTAGGATTTCGCAGTTTGATGGCATTAGCTACATGATAAATATTTTACAAATGGAAGCAAATGCCAAAAATTAAAAAAAAACGTCAACATTATCTGATTACTTTGAATGGGCTTATCATTATTATTTTAAAAGATTCATCCATGCTATTTTTGTTACTAATTTGATTCAGTTTCAGTTTTTGATTACTTTTGTAGTTATTAACAGCAAAAATAAGTCATATATTTTGATAGGAAATATTCTACAAACTACGAACTAATACGTTTAAAATAGGTCAGTTTTGTATAGGAATTTAGGTCATTTATTTTATTAACAAGTCCTAGGCAAACTTTATATTGTTACAAAATCCTTATAAGAACTCGCAAGAGATCAATTTTAGTCAAATATAGTGTAAATAGAGTAGCACAGCACAAAATTCATTATATTTTCCTCGAAACATATTCAAAAGAAATATAGACCAACTTTATTCGCCGCCACACATTGAACATTCCATGAAAATTCACACATAGTTGAAAACATTCCAATTGATTAACGCGGAATATAAATCGTTCCATTTTACGCAGCAGTAATATATATTTTTTTTATGTTATCGACTCCCGCGCACTTCGGATGATTATTGCAATCACGTTCTCGATTTATCGTCACCATCTCAAATACTAATCGGATGAATTTATATCTGTTGTAATGAGAAACGACTAGTGTTATTAACACGTCGTCTTAACACATACTAATTCACTAACATCAACGATTCCCTTGCTACTGTTACGTGTTACATTAACCCATTGCTATGATCGATCTCGTACGAAACAAAAAGACAAGACGCGTCGTAAAACGTCCAACTTCGCGTGGCGGTGTGTATTATTTATGGTGAATTGAATTCGCTATCGTGTTGTGTTCTGAACGATGAGCGCAGACAGACATCTATCTTCCCCCACCGCGGGAGCGATACTGACGTTTGTTGCCACCCTTCCTTGAGTTATTTGGAGGGGGGTCGCTCCGCCCCATGAGGGAATCTGCTTGATAAAATTACGCTATAAGTACACGCCGCTTTGTACACAATTTTGTACTCAATTCTTCAGGCAATGTAAATGAATTTACAGAACGTGTTCCTTTTTGTGATAGGGATGTGCAGTGCGACTTTTTTTAAATTATCATTTTTCTTGCATCTCGAAAGATATTTTCGGTCCCCTTAAGCGAGGTAATTGGATTCGGAGGAGATCGCAAGCGATGCCCGATTGAGACGTCCACATGTCTGTAGTAATTATTATAAAGATCGAGATAAAATCCAGTTCTCTTTGTTTTGCTGCAATGGGAATTTTCTTTTGGTATCATTAGTGGGATCGGCGGTGGTTATGCGGCATTCGTATGTTAAATAAAACGGTTCGATAAGATTGCATTTTGAAGGTGTAGGAGTGTGAATATAATATGATATTTTCATCTTGAACTGCCAATAAAAATCTTGAATTTCCTTTTGTTTTTCATAATTGATACCTCTCTTAAACGATAATAGCTACAGGGAAAGTAGAAGTAACCATTCTTTTTTAAGAGAGGTAGGTCATCACAGTAAACCTCAGATAATTTTACTTGTATTAGGTACTACAAAATAATATCTAAACTACGAGTTCCTTTGTGGACTGAAAGATACTTCTATTTAATATTCTTTAATTTCTAGTATTAATAATTTGAGTTATTATTATTTTTTTATATTGAAGCGGTTATCTCTATGGCGGAGGCTTCCTGAAAGAAAATTTATCAATCATCAAGATACGACAATGCGAATTCCAATGCGAAGAACTAATAATTCAAAATATTATCGGCCATCATTGATAAGAGCGTGTGTAGACGCTAGACTAATTTTGACAGAATTCTAAACCTAAACTCCTACCTGCTTGAGGAACTTAGA